TTAATTATATTAATAATTGAAATAATTTATATGAGACAAGCTTGATGGAGTCAAATGGACAGACAGGTATAGTGGATTTGAGAAGAAAGGAAAATACAGAGTTTTGCAAATTTGGAGAAGAAACATTAAGAAAATGGATTAATTAAGAAATGTTAAAGCAGTGTAGAATGCCTCATATTGAGTAATGTTAATATAAAACAGCAAGACTGTTTTGTTTTAACTTTGCTTAGATTTTTACTTGATTTTTAATTTTTAATTAGCATGTGTTTGAAGTACATGCATTTTACAACCTTCTTGAGAGTGTGTACATGTACACAGTACAGCTGGATTCATTTATTAATCCCCTTCTTCTATCCCACCTCCCTTTCTTCTTCTATAAATTCTCTCCCTCATTTATTCATATTGATATTATTAATTTACAGTATCTCTCTCTTGAGCAAGGCAAAGCACAAATGAGTAGCACAATAAAGTATGCACATTGCAAGCCAAAGACATAGTTATCTTGCAAATGGGAAGGGATCGAAGAGAACTTGGATGAGAGAATTTGGATAGAGGAAAGGGAAAGAGTACAATGAAGATATGCTTCGATTTCTAGTTCCATTTCTGTACTTTGGAACTACTATGGCCAGGGTATGTCACTATTTATAATCAAATTTAATCAAACTTACATTGTAAGAGGACTATATTAGCAAAAGAATATAGAGAAAAGAAGTTGCATTTGATTAAAAGGAAAGTATATAATAATGGAAACAATAAAAGACGACAGGACATAGAAGAATATGATGGAGAATTAGTCATATTTTTCATTAAGTTCAAGCTTAGTTAATATTTATAATTCAGGGGAAAATAGGTGTTAATAGAGAAAGTTACTATTATTCTGACTTTAATAGATTTGATATTTTGTATATTGGATGAGAGAGATACACATAGAAAAACAGTAATCATGCACTTATTTGCCTTGTAATGAAGAACGGATTTAGGAAAATTGCTTCCACTGCACTGCTAAAGGAGGATGTAAAACCCAATTTTTACTAAGAATTGAAAGCTTCCAGAGAATGGCCTTGAAAGTAAAGAAGATGTAATACAATTATCAATAAAGAGAAAAACAATAACCTTGGCAAACAAGAGAAAAAAACCTGTAAACTAATTCTAATTAAGGGCAGAAGAAGGAGATGATAACGCTCTTATGTGCTCTCAAGATCGGTAATAATGTGCATTTCTCAATACTCTTGAGTATCATTACAGCCAAGTGTAATAAAGTGTTAGAGTTTATCTCTTGAATGAAAGTTAACTGCATGCCACTTCACCTTTGAAGTTTCAAATCTCATGTCATAGAAGAAGCAGTGAAAATTAGAAATAGCATAAGAGATCAAGTATGTATATCTACAGACCCAAGTAAGGTAACATGACAAGGCATGCCCTTTCAAATACAAATGAATTGACCAGCCTGAATACACCATATCTACAGATGATATGCAAATGGGAACAGAAATATCAAATAGCACTACACTGGTGGAATTTGTTCTCTTGGGGTTTTCTGATATTCCCAACCTTCAGTGGATCCTCTTTGGAACATTTTTACTCATGTATCTGACAATTCTGATCTGCAATAGCCTTATAATACTAATAACAATAGTTGACCCTGCTCTTCAGATGCCTGTGTATTTTTTCCTTAGCAATTTTTCCTTTTTGGAAATCTGTTATGTAACAGTCACGATCCCGAGAATGCTCATGGACATTTGTACCCAAAAAGGAAATATTTCCATGGTTGCCTGTGCTACACAAATGTGCTTTGTCCTCATCCTGGGAGGCACAGAGTGCCTCCTGCTGACTGCGATGGCCTATGACCGGTACATAGCCATCTGCCATCCCCTGCATTACACCCTGATTATGAACCGCAAATTCTGCGTGCAGCTCGTGGCCGCCTCCTGGATCAGTACAGTTCCCGTTGTGATTGGGCAAATATGCTGGATTTTCTCTTTGCCCTTTTGTGGGTCTAACAAAATTGATCACTTCTTCTGTGACCTCCCCCCATTACTCAAGCTGGCTTGTGGGGACACATTTGCAAATGAGACAGAAGTCTATGTGGTAGTGGTGGTGTTTGTCACTTTTCCCTTTCTGCTGATCATCATCTCCTATGGCAGAATTGTCTCCAGAATTCTGAGAATACCCTTGGCGGGTGGGAGGGCCAAAGCCTTCTCCACCTGCTCCTCTCACCTGACAGTTGTGGTCTTATTCTATGGAACAGCCAACATCACTTATTTACAGCCCAAACCAAGGCAGATTGAAGACATGGGAAAGCTCCTCTCTCTTTTCTACACCATTTTGATCCCAAGTCTGAATCCCATCATCTACTCGCTGAGGAACAAGGACATCATGTTGGCTCTGAGAAAGCTACTAAGTCATCAGCATGGGGAAAAGACTTGAAAACGCAGAAATAATTTGCTGATTGTGCAGCATTCCAAATGTATTCAGAAATATTCAGATGTTTCCTAAATAACTCTAAATTGCTAATTTATAACATGATTATCAAATAATATTATGTAAAATGATCTTGGTTTTAGATATTTTTCTTAAAACCTTGATA